GGAGGACTTTTATTCTTTCGTGCAAGACATGTGGAGGCACAAGAATTGGGAGGCATGGTTAAGTTCTCTCCTTTCAACATCTGAACCACCACTTTACTGGATGGACGATCTAGATCACTAGGTTCCATTGGATGCACAAGAAAAGAAATAATCTTTGTAAATTAATAATTTTATTGATAAATTGATATCATGCTATATTAATAGAATTTAGGTGATCCCAAGGTTGTTAATGTATGCTTTTAGGCAAGCAGAACACAGAGAAACTCATAGTTCTCAGTTCTCAGGGCATAAAAAAGTACATAATCGAACCAGCATCCTATTCGGTGCTCAAAGTTTGGTTGAGAAGTCAAATCTCGTGCAAACATACAAAATCACTACACAAATGCTCTCTGTTGGTAGCCTCTAACAATGACACACATGTAATCATCATTACTCTTGGCATTGAAAACGAAACATTTGGGGTGAATCATGTGATGATATATGATATTTGCACCAATAATCTAAGAGATATTCTTTTGTTTTTGTTTGTACAACACTCATTTACGTAATTAATGTTATAACACTCTTTTAAGTGACTAATGTGTAAAGATATATAACTAGATGAAACAATAAATTTGCTTATGGAGTTCAAAATGTCATAGACAAAACAAGATATAATTTAGGTAAGAACCCACTAGTCAGCAAATTCGAGTTTATTAGAAATTGAGTTACTTATTTGAAAAAAAGAAAGAATTTGACTAAATTATTTTTTATTGGCATGCATACTTTTCGGGGTCAATAATGATGGCTGTGCCCCTAGCAGGTCAATGGTAAGGGCCCACTTCACTTTGACATCTTTGTACTAGTCATCCTAAAGTGACTATTGTTCAAGAAATTCTCACTAATAATTCCATTACAATCTCATCACGTAGCGCAATTAAAGCTCTTAAAATGCAAAGGTACTAAAGAAAAAAAAGAATGTTACAAAACATATCGATTTGAATGGGAAACTGAGAGCTCAAAACTTTGAAAGATCATAACTAAGCAAGTATGGCAACAATATAAGTTGACAAACGTTAGAATTTATAAATTGGCACAAACCAATTTCTTTTTTTTCGATTCATAAAAATAGAAATTTAGAATCTTTGCAAGAAAAAAAAACTTGGAATTTGAGACCTCGAATCCCCAAATTTAAATTTCATGTAAATATGTGTCATTTTTAAATTTCTATGAGTGAGAGTTTAAAAATAAATAAATAAATTCCGTATTCAAATTCTCTTGTTCATTTTAAGTTAACCAAATAAGAAAATTCAGAAATTCTAGAAAATAAAATTTCATTTTAAAATTCCTTAGTATTATTAAATTTCTTCATCCAAACAAAATACAACATTACATTTACCTCTAAATCCGTTTTTCATATTACCCTAAGACAATTTTTTCATATTTCAATTTTACCCTAAAATTTTAATTTAATTTTACAATTACCACTGGCGTGTTTTTTTAACAATGTCCTACGTGTATCCCTAAAGTGTCAGTCAGTCAAAGTCAACGATATGCCATGTGGAGTGTTGGACAAGTGTCCAAGAGTGTCTGTGAAGTTTTGTGTTTGTTTTTGTGTCTGATACGTCACACGCTAGTGTATTGAAGCGTCCATGCATGCAACTTAGCACATAACTAAAGCAGTATAGTGCTTTCTTTGAAGCTGCTTTGCGCGTCTCATCTGTCGCTGTATGAATCATTGTCGATTAGTGATCATTCATATATTTCATACATTTATACCATCTATTTTTAAAGTCTTTGTGATGTTTTTGTGTTATAATTATGACATTTTACCTTACCTTGTGTTATTGTGCAGTTAAATGTGTTTTAGGATTAATTTCAATTAAAAGGAAGAAAAGTGAAGACACGGACAAAGGAGCAGAGAGGATGGCAGGAAACAAAGTGGAAAAACAGCATGGAAGAATTCTGACAGAGTGGAGAGAGCATTGAGGCAGTGACGAAAAGAAAAAGAAACAAATAAAAAAGACAGACTGGCAGACAAAGAGGTGTGGAAAGAAAAGAAAAAAATAAACAAATAAAAAACAGAGAAGAGTGGGAAGGAAGTGGAGTGCGCAGGACTGAAAAGAAAATAAAAGAATAAGAAGCAGTTGACTCGGACTGGCGAGCAGCAGAAGGACAGAAGCAGAAGCACAGGGAATAGAGGAGAGGTGCGGAAACAGAGGGAGCAAAGCAGGAGTGCAGGCAGAGCACGGAAACAGAGGGAGGAGCAGGAGAAGGCAGTGCACACGGAAAATTTCACATAGACTTGCGACGGGAGAAAAGAAACGGGTGTCTTCTTTCTTAGTTATTTATTTTCTTTTATGAATAATTTCTTATGTATCAAATTAATTATGTGTAACTAAATTATTATGCTAGAGTGAGGCCATGAGCGGCAACATGAATACGTAGATTTATTTTTCAATTGCTTAAGTGTTGTTACATGCTTGCTTTGATATTTTCAATCACTGAATTAAACTATCTATGTACCTTGATGCTTGATCACCATTAGGATGCTTAGAAAAGTTATCGGATGCAATTTTGAACGAATGTCACGTTAAAATTGGTTGTGCTTCTTGTGATTGAGGATTGTACTCTCCTAAGGTAAATATCATGCTCTTAGGGATTACATGGTTTAACAAAAGGATTTTCACCAAGATTAATGAATCACTCATGTTTATATTTAATCCAAATGTCATGGATAAGTTGCATGTAGTGGTATGCGTTTTAGCTTGAATGTCACAAGTAAAACATACACAAGGAAAATCCAACTTTCAAAGCATGTGTGTTTTCAATTATTTAAGCAATTGGAAAAGCTACGTATGAGTGTTGTTGGTAAAGGTTGAACTCTAGCATATTGTCAATCTATTTTTCTTCAATCATTTATTTTATCTTGAATTTTCTCATTTACTTGTTTTGTTTAGTTGAATCATTATTCCTATAAACCAATTCCCATTTTAGATAATTGTTTAAGTCACATCCAGTAATATTTAGTTTCGTCAAATTAGTGTAATTTTTAGAGTTAAATAAGTTAAATACACAAAAACTCGTAAATTGTTTATATCAGTCCCTGAGGAGATCGACCTTGCTTGAGCCATTCTATACTACAAACACTTGTCTCTTGCAAGAATTTTCTATGGTTTAACCCTTTGTTTTAAAAGTGGTAAAATCGCTATCAATTAGGCTTAGCTGTGTTACATGTGGTTCCATTCGCTCGGAAATTCTTCAGTTAACCCCAAAGACCACGATAGTCATGGAAGTCTAATATACCGGCACTGCAGGCGGACTTGTATTAGTTCGTGCAAGACCTGTATAGGCACAAGAATTTGGAGGCATGGTTAAGTTCTCTCCTTCCAACATCTGAACCTCCACTTTAATGGATGGACGATCTAGATCCACTGGGTTCCATTGGATGCACCAAAGATGAGTGATGCCACTCAAGAATAATATAAAATTATAAAAAGGATAGTATAAGAGCATCTCCGATGTGTAAAATGCTACCTACTTAGGAATTCAATGTGGTAGTTTTTTATTCACTTGTCTTATGTTGGTTTAGGGGCCAGTTTGGTATTGCTATGCTTAAAAAAAAAAAAACTGCTTCTTCTAATCTAGAGAAGAACTACGACCTAGACTTTGAACAAAATTCAATAGTTTCCTTTTTATTTTTCTTTTTTCTTCTTCTAATCATAAGCGATATTCTATGCTAATCTACATTAAAAAAGAAGGAAAGTTTACACTAGAAGTACAGCAGGTTGAAAAAGAAGACCTTAAATACCAGAACAATTCAACACTTGCCAACAGTTTCCTTACTAGTAGTTTATTTATTTTCTCATATAAATCAATGTGCAATCAACAATATCTTATTTATTTTGGTTGAGCTATGGATTAAACTTGAAACTTATTTCAACATTCTGAAGAGATGTGACTAGACCAATCTCTCTAGTTGGTAATGTAACTCATCCTAAAGTGATTATTGTTCAAGAAAAAGTGAAGGCTCACTAATAATTTATCATTCCAATCTCACCAAGTCGCGGAATTATCGCTCTCAGTATATAAAAGTACTGAAGAAAGAAAAAAAGAAGAAGTTACAAAACATATCGATTTGAAGGGGAAACTGAGAACATAGAAACTTTGAAGGATCATAACTAAGCAAGCATGACAACAATATGTCTATTGAAGCTAGTCAAGAACTGTGATGTAAAAACTTAAGGAAAGATTTTTGCATAAAAGTTATGTGGAAAAGTGATGCATATTGGCCAGCCACTGGTTTCAAGTGAAAACCCAAGCAATCCAACAAACCTCCAATGTACTTACGTAGTCAGACAAACACCTCAAGCTATCGAGCACATATGGTACTTAGGTACAATGGTTACAATTCTCATGAGTCCTTAGTTACATACATAAGTTTTCAACCTGGTTTTGAATTTGTTGCTTATATAGTAGGACACATTTTCATGAATCAGTGATGAACGAGTCACAAGTGTATTTACGACATTTGGTTGGCTAGGTGAAATTGTAAACCAAAACTAAATACATTCTTGCAAAAAATAAAAATGAAGAGAGATTGTAAACCATTTGAAAAATGTGAAAGAACCATTTGAAAAAGCCTAATAAAGTAGAGACAAAATAGCATCCAATTCCCCAAAATTACACATGATCAGAGTCATCAAGCAAGTTAAGAAACTTGCTTAATTGGAGCTAGTCAATGGGTTATTCTTATCTTATAGAATATATATGATGGGTTGGAGGTGAAAGAAAATTAATTTTTAGGGAAAAAGTCAAATTTTCTATAGGCGCATGGTATTTTTTGTTTTGTGTGATTAAGCAGAGATATATGCGTAGTAATTACGCAGTATCCTCCATTAATGAAAGACATATATAATAAAGAGAGCGGGGGAGAGCATTATTGTTTCACAACTGTCTTCACCGTTGACTGACCGTATCAAACACCATCGACCGACTTTTCTCTAGGATACCATTGACGACCGATTTTTCTCTAGGATATTTCAACTGCAATTTCACGGAAGGTGCCTTAACCCCTCCTATATTATATGACTACTTGGTGTGAACTAGTACACCTCTCTCTCTCTCTCTCTCTCTCTCCAATGGAAATTAGTGGAAGCAGGTCCTTCACCTTAAGTTTAGCCTTTCTTCTTCTTAGCTTCTGCAGTGGAACTTGTAACGCTAAGGACGACACCAGTGCCAAGTCCTGTACTTCATCCTGCGGCCATGTCCACAACATAAGCTATCCTTTTCGACTGAACGATGATCCAAAATATTGTGGCGACGTAAGGTATACTCTGTCCTGTGAGAGCAACATTACAGTACTATACCTACCTTCGTCCGGAAAATACTACGTCCAGGCAATCAACTACAACGACAAAACAATCCGACTTCTAGATCCTGGCCTTGTGAACACCAATTGCTCTTCCATGCCTCGAAATTTTCCGCACAATACTTTAAATTATTATGAACATTATTCACGAGGGAATTTAACATCTATATATTACTTGAAATGTTCGAATCCATTGAATTCTTCTCTGTACGTGGACACTGCTCCATGCTTGAATAATACAAGTTCTACTTCTTCGAGCCAACCAAAAACGTATAGCTACGTCATGGTCGGGGAGTACATGGAAGTATGGGAATTGGATGAGGGTTGCAGTGCAGAGGGGAGGGCTTGGATGAATTTGGGTCACTTTGACTACTCCGTTAAGGACTACAGCAACGTCTCTTATAAAGACATACACAATGCTCTCGTGTATGGCTTTGAGCTTCATTTCTGGCCTGGAATACGCTGCCAAGGCTGGAATTATGGGTCATCATGTTTTCCAGACACCATTCCAGGTGCGTCAACTCTCGACTAAAGTAATAACCATATGTAGTCAGAAATATAAGTAATAGAAAACTATATTTTTAATCCTTAAATAAAATAAAATTTAGAAAAATGTCTCACACAAGATTAAAAAATTGATTTTAGTTCCTAAACTCTATTTAATGGCAGCATATGCATTCAATGTCTTTCTTTTTTTCTATTTATAATTTTATGCTGATATGAATTAAATTTTAATACTCATTTGAATTCAAATGAATTAGCTTTTATTTGTTGACATTTTGCATCACCAATTTATTGTAATTATCTTATATAAGAAAATATTTTGGTAGAGGCTTTTCGGCACACCTATGTTTTTGCATATTTTCTTATGTGCCATTAATTTATTACAATGTATTTAGGTACAAACATCTTAGTACACTAGTTTAGAATAACATGTTTAGGTATGGACATTTCGGTATACTAGTTTAGGGTAGGCACGAACATACCGGTACACTAATTTAGTATACTATGTTTAAGTACGAACTTTTTGGTACACTTATGTTTTTCCATATTTTCTTATGTTCCACTAATTCATAATAACATATTTAGCTACAGACATTTGAGTGCACTAGTACAATAAAATACTAGCGAAAGTGTGCCCGCACGATGTTGTGGGTGTTTAAAACTGTACAAAGCATGTAAAAATTTCTATATATATGTACAACTATATTAAGTGTTCAATGGTAGGGTTTACAACTCTACTTACACATATTTACAACGATATTTACAACTCTTTTGCAAGAATCACGTACTCGACAAAAAATTCGAACCCATAAAATACGAAATGAGCAATGTTATTTCGTACCCCCCAAAGACATTCCAAGTCTTAATGGTGTTACATTCATTAGTGAAGACTGAAGTACTCAAGAACTCAGGCACATCGACTACAACTTGGAAATGTTATGCAAGTCTTAAGCAGCTTGAATCATTAAATTTGAGTTGGAAAAAGCTCTCTGTTACTTGCTCTGCTAGCTGGGAAGTGTCCCCAAATTCGACACCATCATCAGCATCAACACATTTCACACACTCCCGCTTCTAAAACACACTATAATACTTACATGATGATAGGTTAAAATTCAGATATGCAACCTTAACCACACATAAGAATAAGAGAAAGTACAGAGATCAAGTAGATGCTTTATTTCTCTCTCTCTCTCTCTCTCTCTCTCTCTCATCCTGTTCAAATTATTTTGCTACTGAAATCAAAAGTACTAAGTTCTTCAAACAGAACAAAGAAAAAAAGAAGTCCAAGTCAAAATGTGGAAAATCTGAAGCATAGAGAGTGTAATATTAGAAAACTAAAATTCATGACTCGTTTTAAAAATCACTCCGAACCTCAAAAATGTAAAAAATAGTTAAACACTAAAATACTCCGGAACATACTAAAAAGTAAGTGGTTACTGTGAAAATCAACCCCTCGGGCCCATTTGATTAGTGTGATGAAGACTGACCAAACTAACAGTTGTTGCACCATATATTTGGTTTACTTCAACTTGGATCGTTTTCTTATGCAAGATTCTTTGCTTAATTTAAATATATAATCAAACATCCCTCCCTACTTAAAAGCTTGTGGTGCCAATATTTTATTTGACTGAAAATTATATTTTGAATACTCACAGCCTGCTTGCTTGATAGCCATTTTTTCTCGGTGTTTTTCAAAATCACTCATAATCATTTTGGTCCCAATTCTAAAACAGAAAAATGGCAAGAAAAGGGCTTTTTGCAAAAGCATAAGTACATACCAATTCGGCTGTGAATCCTCGTGATTCCTCCTAGGACCTTGATGAGGTTATTGCTGGTGATCTGAAGATAGAGAACTTGAATTAGGGTGGCTTGTTTTCTGAGTGCACAGAGAGACAAAAGGGGGAAACAGGGTGAGATTATATAGGTAGATATATTATATACAACCTTGAAGAATAACTAGAGAGTAGCTAGGCCAATTACAACATGGTAATCGATTCAATTTACTCAGCTCCTAGCTAGCCTCTTATTGTTCATTCTTATTGTTCATCTTCATCTGTGCCAATCAAATCTGATTCTTGACAGAATGTGTGTGTGTGTGTGTAAAATATGCGTTTTTGAAGTATATAGTTATCCCCAATTGGTTACCCTGATTTCATAGTGTCCATTATTGTTAAGACTTGGAAGCCCACTTCCTAAAACCAATTTCAAAACATGCATAGAAACTTTGCATGTTTGATTTCTGAAAACCTAAGCTAGTAGAACTTTGGAAATTTATCTTGCAACCTAATCTATTGTCCTAACAACCATAATGAAGAGAAATTTGTGGTGAGTTGGAACAAATTAAGTAGTGGAATAATAATCATGTACATTATTTTTTTTAAATTCATGCTTCAGTGCAGTTGGCTCTGTATGCATGGGTTTCTGTTTGTCTGGTGCTTCACCAAATTTGGTTGATCAAATTAAGGTGCCACTGTTATTAATAGGAGAAGATGCCCACAGCATCAAGTTAGGAACATGATATGATAAGTCCTAGAATTATCAATATAATACACATACAGATAACCCTGCAGGCCAACTTGGTTTTTAGTTGTTTCTGTTGCAATTCTTTTTAGGCTTTTTATTTAAAATGATCCCTAAGATTTGCATCATCATAAGTTTGGTCCCTGAGATTTAAAATCAATAGAAGTAGTCCTTGAGATTGTCCACCATCCATGATTTTGGTCCTTCCGCTGAAGCTTTTGGCCGGAAGTTTGGATAATTTTCAAAGCTTCGTAACTCAATCATTTCTTAACCAAATTCGACCCGTAATAAATCAAAATGAAGATAGGAAAATATAGAATAAGATTATATCTATTTGGAAGCTCAATGGTTGCTGAAGATGGTCGGAAAATAGCCTCAATATTGACTGGTCTGAGGGAAAACTGGGTAAACTTTAAACGTTCATAACTTCTTCAATACTCAACGAAATTAAGCGATTCAAAAACAAAAATCATATTTCACGACGAGAAGAAGAGAATGGTACCCTTTTTCAATAGCTAAATCACCGTGGTTTGGCCAGAAAACGGCTTGAAAGTTGTTGACTTGTTTTTCAACAGCCACTTTCGAGCCGTTTTCCGACCAAACCACGGCAAGTTAGCTGTTGAAAAAGGTACCATTCTCTTCTTCTCGTTGAGAAGTATGATTTTCGTTTTTGAATCACTTGATTTTGTTGAGTATTGAAGAAGTTATGAACGTTTAAAGTTTACCCAGTTTTCAGCGAATTTCCGGTTCCAGTTTTCCCTCGGACCAGTCAACTTTGAGGCTATTTTCTGACCATCTTCGGCAATAATTGGGCTTCCAAATAGATATAATCTTATTCTACACTTTCCTATCTTTATTTTGATATATTATGAGTCGAATTTGGTTAAAAAACGATTGAGTTACGAAACTTTGAAAATTGCTCAAACTTCCGGCCAAAAGCTTCAGCGGAAGAACCAAAATCATGGATGGTGGACAATCTCAAGGACTACTTCTATTGATTTTAAATCTTAAAAACCAAACTTATGAATGATGCAAATCTCAAGGACCATTTTGAATAAAAAACCTACTTTTTAATCTACCTTAATTAGCATGGAAGCGATAGAGTTGAAGACAAAATACCTAAATTTAAAAGACATTTTCGAAGTTAAATTTGAAATAAAAGAAACCAAATTGCCATTGAATATGAAAACATGTAAATAAGAAATTGAAAACAAACCTGTAATTTCGTTAAGATCAGTCCCATCCCTCCCTCACCCTTTGTCTGCAAGGTCTCTGTTCAAAAGACCCACCCTTCCGTCATCTTCCTCTCTCCGCGCTCTCTCCCCCTCCTTCTCTCTGTGCAGTCCATACCTTCTAAGCTTGCAGTCTAAGGAATCAACACCAATGCTTAATCATTAACACTCACTTCTAAGATTGTTGCTGATTTGATCCCTAGCATGTTTCTGAGATAGAAGAATAGATTATTTGACAATGCTGTGATGAAGATGTCTGCCAATTGTTCCTCTGATCTGCAATACAATAGATTGATGATATTGTTTTGTAGTGATTCTCTAAAGAAGTGATACCTGCTATTTATGTGCTTGGATCTTTCATGAAACACATGGTTTTTGTCATGACAATGGCAGATGTGTTGTCACAATGCAATCAAGTAGCCTAAGTTTGTAATTCAGCAAAGTCTTCCATTATAAATCAAAGCCAAATCTCTTGAGTAATAGCTTCAGAGGCACTAACATACTCAGCACCTGCAGTAGACAATACTACACTGTGTTGTTTCGATGAAGCCCATGAGCAGATTCCACTGCCAAATGAAAATGCATATCCAGGAGTACTTTTCAAATCATTTTCATCCCTACTCCAATCACAGCCACAATAGCCTATTAGCATAATATTGCTTCCTTGGATTTCAAATATTCAATGGCATAATCCAAGGTTCCTTGTATGTATCTTAGCACCCATTTTGCAATACCAAAGTGTTTCTTTGAAGGACTGTGCATGAATTTTGAGAGTAAGATCGCATCAAACACAATGTTAGGCCTTGTAGCTATCAACTATAACAGACTACCAACAATCTACCTATAAAGAGCTTTATCTACAAGAGCACCACCATCTTCTCCTTTCAACTTCGTATTCACTGCAAGTGTTATAGTGAGAGGCTTGCAATCTTCAAAACTAAATTTGTCTAAAAGTGCAAGAGTGTACTTCTTTTGATTGATAAAGATACTTTTGCTCTGTTTGAACTATTCACATACCAAGAAAATGATAAAGCAAGCCAAGATCAGTCATCTCATACTTCTTCATCATATCCCCCTTAAACTTATTAATTAGTTTGGAGCCGTAAGAGGCGGTCGAGCACGAATTCATGTAGTCTGGAACAACCTGCAAAATAGTGAAACAATCGTAAGCAAACCTTTGGTTGGGGGGGGTGGGGGGGGGAGGTTAGTTAAGTTAATGAATGATTTTAGACTCAAGCAGTGGGCAAGAGAATTCAAAGTGTTTAGATTGTGCTACCGTAGATGAACCCTAGATGGGTGTATTTATACCGTGGGAGAGGGGGCCTTTTTAGAATAGAATCCTTGTTCTAATATGGAAGAATCCCAAAGGATGTCTAGTAAATAGATATTGCACCGTTGTCACTCCTCAATCTTTTGATCTGGTATCCACATTGTAGCTTAACCATGGCTTTGAAATGTTTAAACACAGTGAACACTTTAGACTTGTGCTTCAGAAGATACAACCAATACCTTCTTGTACAATCATCTATGAAAGTCAAGCAATACTTGTTTCCACCCGATGTTGTAACCTGCACAAATATCAGAGTGTATCAACTCTAGTGGATGACTTGCTCTCCACATTATCTCCCTGCTACAGGCTTCTCTGTGATGCGTTCCCACCGCACAACCTTCACATACTGTTTGTGTTTGCTTCAACTTTGGCATTCATAGTACCATTTCCCGACTAACAGGTAACTACAGGCTTTGAAAATTCAATTGTCCAAGTCTTATGTGCCAATCTTAAGCACCGTCTTCCAAAGCAGCTTTCAACACATTGAATTTCTTATCTTCCATTATGAGAGGGAAACATCTATTCCCAGTCATTTGTACTGTAACCACATGATTTTCCAGCATCTTATCTTCAAATAGAGCAACCTCATCAATCCAAATAGAAGGAAATATCCATGCTGCATCATTTGTCCAACACTCAGCAAATTTTCATCCAATCCTGGCAACTCTTAAACTCTAGACAAAAGGCCACATAAATATTATAACTTCTAAATAAAACCCAAATTTTAAATATGATGTCATGTTGGATAAAAGATGTCCCTGAATTTGTGTTCATTTACAAAATCATGCCACCAAATCTCTTATACGTTTCTTTTAGACATTTAACTAGAAAAATTGCCCGCGCTTCCCTGCGGGTTTTGAACAACCTGGAAATTTACATAAGTCAAATTTACAGGTAAAGGAGCAATCATTTACTGAATTATAAAGAAAATCTTCACAAAAGTGTCTAGTTTGAAAAATAAATGAAACCTAGATTAAATTTCTTGACAAAAACTGAAAACTTGAAAGCTTAAGAAAACCCCATGAATCCAACATAGAAAAGATGTAAACTTTTGCGTTGGCTAAACCAAAAATGATATCTTAAACAAAACCCATGAATCCAACTGAAAAACGCCCAAATTTAAACGAAACAAGACAAACAAAATATCAAACATGGTTCATTGTCTCTCTTTGAATTTTAAATCACATGATATATTATCGTCTTAACATTTCATATACTCATGCATTGCATAAAAAATTATATCTATGTTAAAATTACTTGGACTATCTTGCAAAAGAGCGACCGTTTTCGTTACCTAGGATCTATCTTGCAAAAGAACGGAGAATTAGATGGAGATCTCAACCATAGAATACAAGCTGGATGGATGAAGTGGAAGAGTGCATCCGGCGTGTTGTGTGACCGCCGTATGCCACTGAAGCTCAAGGGAAAATTTTATAGGACGGCAATAAGGTCGGCGATGCTGTATGGCACATAATGTTGGGCGGTGAAGCATCAACACGTACACAAAATGGGTGTAGCGGAGATGAGGATGCTTCGTTGGATGTGTGGGCACACGAGAAAGGATAAGATTAGGAATGAGGATATCCGGGGTAAAGTAGGAGTAGCCGAAATTGAAGGAAAGATGAGAGAAAATCGGTTACGGTGGTTTGGAATGTGCAAAGAAGGCCTACTGACGCTCCGATTAGAAGATGCGACTATGGGACAGAGGTTCAGGGCCGAAGGGGTAGAGGAAGACCTAGGAAAACTTTGGAAGAGACTCTAAGAAAAGACTTAGAGTACTTGGATCTAACGAAGGACATGACACAGGACCGAGCACAATGGCGTTCTAAGATTCATATAGCCGATCCCACTCAGTGACTTGGATTTTCCAAGTCTCCAACCGAGAAGTTTTCCTCACTCAGGAAATTAAGGGAACACTACCTCAACCTACATGCTCCACTCACAAAGCTTCAACAAAAGAAAATTCAAAGAACTTAGCGAAGAAGGCTTTGGTGTATTTAACACAATACGTTGAAATGAAGGAAAGCTTATTTATTGATATCCCCGATAAGCTACATATATGTACATATACATAACTCAAAATAAACAAACAAGACGGAGCCTTCACAAAGGTTGCTTAGGAGAAGTCTCAGCAGTCGGTAGAGCCCCAGAAAGAGAAGGCACCGGAGGGGGATCATTCGAAGCCTCAGTACTGGACAGAACCCTAGAAGGAGGAGGCATCAGAGGTTGATCATTTGGAGCTTCATTACGCGGTACAGCCCCAGAAGACGAAGGCAATAAATGCCTTTGGAATAAACCCACAAATCTTTGATGATCAAGTAAAACCTGACCATCAGATTCCTTCATCTGGTCAAGTTTCCTCTTCATGTTTGTAGCATAGTCATGTGCGAGCCGGTGCAACTGTTTATTCTCATGCTTGAGCCCTCTAATCTCCTGTTTGAGACTCATCACTTCAGCCGCCAATGATTCAACTTGGCGGGTTCGAGCAAATAGGCGTTGGGCCATATTAGACACAGAACCTGCACACTGAACACTGAGAGCCAGAGAATCCTTAACAGCTAACTCATCATACCGTTTGGAAAGTAGTCTGTTATCTTTGGGAGTGAGAAGGTTCCTGGCCACCACCGCAGCGGTCATATCATTCTTCATCACGGAATCCCCAACGGTAAGAGGACCAGTAGGGGAGACGAATGATGGACGCCATATGTTGTCAGGAGAAGGCGGGGCTGCCTCTTCAACAAGGTTCAAGTCAAAACGACGGTCGGAGGGGCCAGACATTTTCAAAGGTGTTGAAGAGAAAAGAGGTCGGACAAATCAAGATCTTAGAAGTTCAAGAATGGAGCTTCTACTGGTGGAGATTCAAGTGTGCTTTGGAACTTAATGCCAGCCCCTATAAAAATCTGCACTCGACGGAGCTTCAGAAATCGAAGAGGCGCCTGCTCAGAAATCGAAGAGGCGTTTGCTTTCTCAAAAGCAAGGCTGCTCAGATACCACGAGGGTCGATCTCAGAAATCGAAGAGGCGTTTGCTTTCTCAAAAGCTGGGCTGCGCAAAGACCACGAAAGCCGATCTCAGAAATCGAAGAGGCGCTTGCTTTCTCAAAAAACTGGGCTGCTCAGAGACCACGAGGGCCGATCTCAGAAATCGAAGAGGCACCTACTTTTCCAGCCTTGTCAGCACCTGTCACACGCACACTCAGCTTTGCGGAAATTATGGGCATTCGGTCGAAGACTTCTGGTGAAGTAGAAAGCACATGAGTCTTACTGTTCAATCACCCACTTCCCACACGCAACAGTAGCTCATGGGTACCACAGATAACTTTGCCAAAGTTCTCTGCCAAAGTTGAACACGTGAAGCTTGCAGCTCCCACTACATCGCTTTGACCAAGAAGAGTAAAAGAATAGCAAAGAAACAACACTAACAAAGTTTAGACACATAAATTTTGAAGGTCTAGCTACCATATTATTACCCACAAGGGTAAAGGAACAGTACCACTGCTGGATAATTGGAAAGTCCCTGTGTGTCAACCTCTGTGCTTCGTGGCAAGGTAGACTAGCAAACATGCCCAACCTTTAATCACATTCGAGAAAACACTCCCAACAAGATTGCTTGCTCCAAAATCGAAGAGGCACTGTCCTCCGAATCTCGAGAGCCAGACTCCCAACATGACTACTTTCTCAAAAATCGAAGAGGGTAAAGGAACAGTACCATTGCTGGATAATTGGAAAGTCCATGTGTGTCAACCTCTGTGCTTCGTGGCAAGGTAGACTAGCAAACATGCCCAACCTTTACTCACATTCGAGAAAACACTCCCAACAAAATTGCTTGCTCCAAAATCGAAGAGGCACCGCCCTCCGAATCTCGAGAGCCAGACTCCCAACTTGATTACTTTCTCAAAAATCGAAGAGACATCGCTCTCCGAATCTCAAGAGCCAGACCCCCAGCATGATTGCTTTCTCAAAAATCGAAGCGGCATCGTTCTCCGAATCTCGAGAGCCAGATACCCGATAGGATTGCTTGTTCGAAAACCGAAGAGGCAACACTTTCCCAACTACAAGAGCCGGATCCCCTTGGATAAAGCTGTTTGTAATCTTCACACGCAACATCAGCTTTCCAGATACCACAAACCACTTTTTCAAAGTGCTTTGACAGCGTTAAAACATGTGAAGCTGACAGCTCCCACTACCGTGCTATGACCAAGTAGGGTAAAGGAATAGCATGACTACTTGTTGTTAAGGAGACTCCTATATATGTCGACCTCCATCCTCAACGGACAGGCAGACCTGCAAAAATGCTCAACCCTTCCTCATATCTAAGAGGGCACTCCCAACGAAGCCTTTCGAAATATTCAGCTTTCTTTCCCCCCGATAATCCCTCTGCAAACAAGCTATACTAGAGCAAGAATATCTCATATCATCAGGGTTAAAAGCAAGAGTATCCCATATCATGCTTCTTCCCTGTCTTTTCCTTTGACCTTATTCTTACCTGCAAGGCAAGGAGAAAGAGAGCAATCAGTCAGTACTTGGAATCAAGCTTCCAGCCAGGAACTGACTGCCTGGAACCCCTTACCTGATTACTTACCTGATATTGCTCTCGAGTAGTCATCTTCAACATCTTATGCTTCCAGGGAAGATACTGCATCTACCTGAGGAACAGATAGGGCAAGGGAAAAGGATACAAGGAAGCATGTGGAGACAAGCGTAACAGCACACGTGCCGATACATCCATTACTCTGTCAAAGCAAAAGTATCCCATATCAGCAGGGTTGAACGTACTCTAGATTTGATGGACTTGTTTTGATCCTCAAATTCTTCAGTCGGCCTTATACTCTGGAGGAAACCAGAAAACCCTCCAGCTCAGTTCAAGAATAAGCCTGTGGAAAGTTACTTCTTCAAAAGCAAAAGTATCCCATATCATCTCTTCTCATTTTCTTCTCTTTATCCTTCATGCTGCCTGCAAGATAGGGAGACTGTGAACAATCAGCCGGAGCTATGATTGCTTACCTTGCCTGTCACCTCTTTCAGCAGATCCCCTAGCTCAGCGACTTGGGGGACTCCTACTACATGGTTTGTATCGCGCTTGACCAAGCCTGAAACTACAAGTAAGCTTCAAGTGAAATTGATACATTACCTTGTGCATCTCCACCAGTTAAAGATACCACCCCTGGATGGAGGAAGAGTACTTCTAGAGAAGATGCCCCATCTACCTATGAGACAGATAAGGCACGTCAAGACGATACCACACTCCGATACTTAGAAGTTTTGTGATTACGAGATCATTCTCCCACAATATTTCCTAATGTCTTTTGTACTAAATCATTCACTTGTACTCACTAAAGGAGAGCTTGAACCTATGTACTTGTGTAAACCCTTCACAATTAATGAGAACTCCTCTATTCCGTGGACGTAGCCAATCTGGGTGAACCACGTACATCTTGTGTTCGCTTTCCTATCTCTATCCATTTATATACTTATCCATACTAATGACCAGAGCAATCTAGCGAAGATCACAAAAAGCGACCGTTTTCGCTACCTAAGATCTATCGTGCAAGAGAACGGAGAATTAGATGGAGATCTCAACCATAGAATACAAGCTGGATGGATGAAGTGTAAGAGTGCATCCGGCGTGTTGTGTGACCGTCATAGGTCACTGAAGTTCAAGGGAAAATTTTATAGGACGGCAATAAGGCCAGCGATGTTGTATGGCACAGAATGTTGGGCGGTGAACCATCAACACGTACAAAAAATGGGTGTGGCGGAGATGAGGATGCTTCGTGGGATGTGTGGGCACACGAGAAAGGATAAGATTGGGAATGAGGATATCCGAGGTAAAGTAGGAGTAGCCAAAATTGAAGGAGAGATGAGAGAAAATCGGTTCCGGTGATTTGGACATGTGCAAAGAAGGCCTACTGACGCTCCGGTTTGAAGATGTCACTACTGGACAGAGGTTCAGGGCCGAAGGGGTAGAGGAAGACCTAGGAAAACTTTGGAAGAGACTCTAAGAAAAGACTTAGAGTACTTGGATCTAACGGAGGACATGGCACAAAACCGAGCGCAATGGCGTTCTAGGATTCATATAGCCGACCCCACTTAGTGGGAAAAGGCTTTGTTGTTGTTGTTGTTGTTGTTGTTGTTGTTAAAATTACTTGGACTGCTTTATCATGGTTTAAGAAAGCAACCTCAAATCATAGTATCTACATATTCCTTCAGATTATCATAAACACTAAAACAAAATCCTCGCTTCTCACTACATGTTTAAGTTACATGAGCCCATACAAACCGCTTCACTGTTCACCTATACCCTCAGTGCCATAAATCCAAATAAAAAATCCAATAAATAAAACTGGCTGCTAACCAACACAAAAAAAAAAAAAAAAAAAAAAAGAAAAGAGATACGCTTGAATTGTTAATCAAATCAACACACACAAAAAATTAACAACGCGAGAAACAACAGCAAGCATACCAGCAGCAGCAGGCAGGCAAATCCTGTCACACATTCGCATATTGAATTTGAATGCACTTTCATATATGTGTTGTCATAAGGATGCAAATTAATTGCTGCATCTCGTGTTTTATTAATTTTTATTCTATAATCAAGTACAAATCACATACATACTCCAAAAACCAAAAAGAGAATGCCGGAAATGAGAAATTACAAAATCATATTGAAGAGCCTTCCAACGCACATTAATAATCTAACTAATGAATGTGATTTGAGAAACAAACCCCTTTTCGGGCGTGACTGATCAGATCCTGCTCTTGCATTGCTGGTTCTACACAATACCCAATACACAAGGTCGTACCCAGTGCACAAGGCTCACGCTTTACGCAGGGTCTGGGAGAGGTGAATGTCGGCTAGCCTTACCCCCATTTATGGAGAAGCTGCTCCCAAAAAAAAAAATTAATACATCGTCCTTACAAAATCAACCAACAAATAAAAAAAATCATATTTTTCAATCACTTTCTCATCCATATAGAACACAGACTAAAAAACGATTAATCACCTGTGTTGGGGGGGGGGCGGTAAACTGCTGATACCCTTCATGGCCAAAGCCGACACAATCTCCTATAATTTCCTCATACTTCGTTTTTCTTTGACAATTTACAAATGCAAAATTTGGATGCTGCAGTGGAAGATCATGCTACAAATTCAAACACAAAAATCCAAATTAAACACAAAATTCAACATTCACAATGCAAAAATGCAAACTATACATAAAATCAATGCTTTCAAAGTCGTATGGCATATTGGCTGGCTTATCACAATTGTTTAGTATAAATTTACCCACATATTATTTATGGATAAATTTAAGTAAAAAAATAAATGATAACTAAATCATACACTGGTAGTCTCCGAATTCCCCCAGCAAGCAAACCGTTGATGGGTTCCCTTGAAAGAACTCAATTCAGAACTCACTTCATACACATATGAGAGAGGAAGAGCGAGAGAGAGTACCACAAAGTCCCAATTTCAATCCCACTACAGAGAGAAATCGATTAGATCCCCATATCCCTCAATAAAATGCATAAGAATAATTTACAAAATTTGTTAATACTCATAAATTTTAACCATTCATTTGAATGAAGACAAATTATCAGTAAAACCCCACCTCGAATCCCCTCGCTCAATTCCATCAGAAGTGCGAAAATCCCATGGTGTGAAATTATTAACCACGATTCATCAAACCGCCAAAAAAAATAAAAATCCAGAAACTAAAAGCAACAATGCAGTAAACCCAGATAAAAACGACGACTAAGGACGCCCAAAAAATCAAATTGGGAAATCATGAGGGCAACGAAGAACTCAACGAAATCGAATCGTATGGAGAGAAAGAACCACCAGGAGATGAGTAAGGTGGAAAGCCAAGGAGGGGGGTCAAATGAGTGAGTTTTGAGTTGTAGGTTTCGAATTTTTCGTTCAGGGGAAAGGGGGAGGAAATTGAATTGTACCCAACAGGTTTTACGGAACAAATCTGGAAGGAGGAACCGAAAATCAGCCCCCCATCCTCTCCCTCACTATTTCTCTCTGACCATCCCTCAAATCCCCCGATCCCTCCCTTTTATTTATCTCTCTGTAATCTCCCCTCACATCCCACACCCAATCTCTCTCTGTGACCATCCATCAAATCCCCCATCCCCTCCTTTTCTGTCCCTCTCTCTCTCTGTGCAATGGGCATGGCTCCCATCGCCCTCTGTATGCTAATTCGCCCCCAGCCCTTGGACAAAATTATCCTCCTAACTTTTAATAATACCCTCCAACTCAGCCACACATTTGATTGCAGTGCTGTAAATAAAGTAAAATCAAGGGTCATATATAGGAAGGCACCTAAACCCCATATATGAACATATATTCTACATTTATGTATACTAAATACCATAAAAAGTAGGTAAATTGGTTTTGTTACAAATTAAAAAAGTAGGCACATTAGTTTTCATATAATTATACAGTAGGTAAATTATCTTCATAAAATTAAACAATATATATTGTTTTCAAAAAATTAATTTTCTTAGTAGGTAAATTTTTTCACGTAATTATACAGTAGGTAAATTATCTTCATAAAATTAAACAATATATATTGTTTTCAAAAAATTAATTTTCATATTAGGTTAACTATTTTCATGTAATTATCATGTAGGTATAAAATTAAACAATAGATATTGTTTTCATAAAATTAATTTTCATAGTAGGTAAATTATTTTCATAAAATTAAACAATAGATATTGTTTCAAATTGAAATTTGTTGTCGAAATTAAAAAAAAAATCCAAATTAATTCCTCCATCTAGAACCATATTTCATGGCTACAAAACCTTGCCAAATTCAATGCACATGATCCATTAAAACAAATAAAAATGGACACACAAACTTAATTTGGTAAGTTTCTCAGTTGGATCCTAATCATTGAATTTTATTCAGATAAATATATATATGATGGGCTAGAGGCTAGAAAAATGAGTTTGGAGGGGGACGATTAAATTTTTAGAAAAAATAATACATATATATATTAATCAATGTATTGACAAAACTAGAATTTTAAATTTATTTTCTAACGACTTATACACCTCACACTGGTTATGCTAATGCATGTGGTCTTGTTCTTTCTTTGTTCTTGTAGGTTTCTTTCAATATATATGGAACCTAATCGAATATCTTTGGGACCTAATCGAATATAAATGGGACCAAATCCGTAAGGGGTTCTCCTTTTGTTTTATTTACAAGTTTTCGATCGACAAACTTGATTTTTTAAATTCTGAAGATTAGATGAGCTATTGCTAATGTTGTGTATTCTTCGTCACATTTTTCACTGTAGGTCATGGACGCATCTCATTGTGTAAGAAGTTTCTCTCCAAAAGATTCTTTTATTTTTGTGTGATCTATCTGTACTTCTTAAACATAGTAACTGTATGTCTTTGCTCACTTTTCCGTGGTATGTATCTATTGCAGCTGGCAAGTTGGAAGAAATAGAAATCAGTAAGAGCTTCATTTAATTAGTCCATACGCTCAAGTCTTTTGATTTTGGGTACCTTCATTAGCACCCAAATTTTAGTTAAGTTCACCTAACTAAAACATTTTGTCAAACTTCATAGTTTCCCCTCATTTTCAAGTTCGCCCAAATCCACACCAGCCTCCACATACCAAAAGAAAGAGAAAATGAACAGACAAAACCACTACCGCGCACCCGACGAAACTACACCATCCTCTGGTCCCTCCCTCATCAACAGCGTCGATGCCAGCTCTTTGTGGGTCTGTGTGTTCATTCTCTTTCTATTGGTGAGTTGTGGGTGTGTGTTGTTCGTGTTTTTTGGTGAGTGGTGCTTGCTGCTTGGTGGGTTGGGTGAACTCAATTTCGACGGCAAATTAAAAAGTTTGATGACAAAAATTTTTTAGTTGAGTGAAACTAACTAAAATTTGGGTGTCAATAAAGGCACCCTTTGATTTTTTTTATTTTTTTATTTTTCACTTTATGCACTTTTCAAACTCATTGTCAATTAATTTTGTTGCAGTACGTGGATGGTTTATACTCATATGCATCGGTAAGAACTAATACGAGATTGTATTATCCGCATATGTAGATTTCCCATTCTCTCTCTTTAATTATATCAAGGACAAAGTAATTTGGAAAGAAAGGGAAGAAAAAGTAATACGCAGTGGATCTAACATATTATTGTCAATGCATGCAGGGTTATTTTTCCTAGCCAGATTTGTTTTTGGAGTTCTAGTTGTGACTGCATTTTTAATCTACACATGGCGCAGAAGACATTTATCAATGCATGGCACAATAGAAGATTTTCTGCAATGCAATAACAACTTCATGCTTATAAGGTACTCTTACTCGGACATCAAGAAAATGACTCGCAAGTTTAAGGACAGGTTGGGCAAAGGTGGCTTTGGCTCTGTATTTAAAGGAAAGCTACGTAGTGGCCGATTTGTAGCAGTTAAAGTTTTGGGCAAGCCCAAAGCTGATGACCAAGATTTCATTAGCGAAATAGCTACAATCGGAAGGATTCACCATGCCAATGTGGTGCAACTTGTTGGATATTGTGTTGAGGGATCAAAGCGTGCTCTAGTATATGACTTCATGCCTAATGGTTCTCTTGATAAATACATTTATTCTAAAGAAGGAAGTCTTCCTTTAACTATCAAGACTATGTACGAGATTTCTCTTGGAGTGGCTCAAGGGATCGAATATCTACATCAAGGTTGCGAAATGCAAATTCTACATTTCGACATCAAACCTCATAACATCCTTCTTGATGAGAACTTTAAAGCAAAGATTTCTGACTTTGGGCTTGCAAAACTGTATCCTGTAGATAATAGCATTGTCTCTTTGACGGCAGCACGGGGTACAATGGGATATATTGCTCCCGAGTTGTTCTACAAAAATATTGGAGGTGTCTCATACAAGGCCGATGTCTATAGTTTTGGAATGTTGTTGATGGAAATGGCAAGCAGAAGGAAGAATTTGAATGCAATGGTAGAGCATTCAAGCCAAATCTACTTCCCGTTGTGGGTATACGATCAGTATATTGTGGGAAATGACTTGGAAATGAACAATATTACTGAGGAGGAAAAGAAAGTAATAAGAAAGATGGTTATAACAGCCTTATGGTGTATTCAAATGAAACCAAGTGATCGTCCTTCGATGTCCAAAGTTGTCGAAATGCTTGGAGGAGATGTTGAATGTCTGCAGATGCCTCTCAAGCCTTCTCTATGCCCACAAGAAGCGCCTGTGACTGCGGGTGATATTCAAGACAATGAATTGAACCCAATATGTTCTAACGCGGAACTAACGTGTTCATTGTCAGCTAGGTGATAGTCAAATTGTTAAGGAAGTGCAGTAATGTATTATTAATTAAATTTTTGCTTTAAAGTGATTTGGTGAATAACTGCCGTTTGTAATTGTTTGGCTTGGATTCATCTCAGAATTGACTTGTGTTGGTGCGTATATATATACATGTTACTTTAATTCAACAATTGCTTCTAACTGTAGGAGGCTTTTAGGGTTGCTTGCATCATTAAGTTTTCTCCTCCTCCTACATCCGCACCACCGTTTTCATGGTAGGATGATCCACCGAGTGTCACTCGATGTACCAGAGCCCTAAAATTACAAGTTGCTTTGGAATCTTACCATAACATTCTTCTTCAATATGGATCCGTTGTTCATTTCCTTCCTCTAGAAGATTATAAATCCATTTTGGATAGTAGATTTCATTTGTCGTGTCGTCTGTGGTTGAACCAACATTCTTCTTTCCTCCTACCATCTCAAGCAGCAACATTCAAGACATCTGCCTTGTAAGACAAATTTCTGAAATTCCTGGAAAACACTTCAGGTGCAATGTATCTCATGGTCCCTCTCGCTTAAGTCATTGACATTGATTGATCCTTGGAACATAACTTGGCCAGAACAAAATCAGAGATTTTTGGCAGGAATTTTTGGTCGAGCAAAACATTATGTGGTTTGATATCGAAATGGAGGATTTGTAGATCACATCCTTGATTCCTTTGGCTATGCTAATAGCAATATCTTGCAACTTATGCCAACCATTGAGAAAGAACTCATAAACCAGAGCTCATCTAAATCCATCAGCACAAAAACCAACCAAGCGAACCACATTGACATTGTGAATATGACCCATTGTTCCCACTTCATTCACAAGCTCTTCCCCGTTGCCCTTGGAAATGTTAAGTACTTTCATGGCAACAAAGCATTCAGAAAAAAAAAAAAAAAAACAGCTTCGTATGCTCCTTGGCCCAATTGTACTTGAATTGATTTGTAATCCTCTTAATATCTGCATAGGAATATATGCTTGGCTTATGATCTTTGTAGTCCGCCGAAAACTTATCAATTTTCATTCGATTCTCTTTTTCAGCGTTATAGGCGTGATATGTTGCAATGACCAGCAGTAACAGAACAAATGAACGTAGGGTTGCTCCTGCAAATAGATAGATACTATCCATGAGTAAACATTTATTCTCCAATGTCCTTTGGAGATGAAACAAAGCTAAACAACAGTCATACACAACTCACCCTTGCAAACGTCTTTGTTTTGCCTGCAAAAGACAGTTGCGAAAATTAGAATGTCATTTCTCGAAATTAATCAATATCGTTACCATAAATATAAGCCGCTAATTACATGAAAGCAGACAAATCACAGCATGTAGCACATTATACCGATCATCATCATTAAAAACATCATGAGCATAATAAATGCGAAATAAGATTTAGACGCGTTATCCTTACTTGGTTTCCTCCTGTCAACAAGTTCAATTTCGCTCTTAGTGCCATTGTTCTTCAATCTACACCTCTTGCCCTTTGCTTCACATTTGATACAATTTGGTTTAGACCATTTGAAATGCAGAGTTTTAATTTCATTTCCCACCCAACCACCAAATGGAACTGATGAAACACCATAAGTCTTTGTACAAGAGTGCAGAGCAGGGAAGCTTTCAAATAATTGAAAGAACGAAGACACGCCATAAATTTTGTTACCAGGGACACTGAGGGAAGCGGACTTGCTATAGATCCATTAACAATATAGAAACCAAATACATATTGAACACTCTATACCTCACATGTACAGACCAAATATGGAAGCCAAAATAGGCACTCAAAACTGATACAAAAATACTAAATAATTTCTTTTCAACCTTATCTGTCTTAAAAATAAAATAAAAAGGGTCATATTGCAGAACAAAAGTATACCTCATGTAGCATTTCATCATCTTTATGTGCAGCGTGAACTCTTCAAAGTGTGACTTCTGCTGCAATATTTTGATATAAAACAAAATCCCCATAATCAGATTAATTAGGGATTTTTCTTCATAGTTTTATGTACTTCAAAAGATATATGATGTAAATTATACTTGAGTATTATCACTGTATAAAAAAATAGGGTAAATTACACAGTAGCCCCTCAGATTTTAAGGTTTATTACAATCCCATACAACAACTTTAAAACATTTCACTTTCATACCTTAAGTACTATTTTATTTCAATATAATACATCTGTTAGATTTTCCATCCATTAATCTGTTAAATGCTGACGTGGCTGCCACATTTGTGCCACATGGCTGCCAAATGTCTGCCACGTGGCAAAAAAAATTTAATTTTCTTTTTTTTTAAACCTGAATTTTCTCAACAAAAAAAATAATAAATAAATAAATGAAACCCACATCTGCAACCAGCGACCAGAAGGAGGAAAAGAAAAAAAAAATTTGTCCTTCCCCCCAGTGACCAGAAGAAGAAAAAAGAAGAACCCCCCCCCGGCGACCCTCCCCCCGCCCGGTGACCCTCCTCCCGTCCTCCCTCCAGCCCAGTGATCCTCCTTCCGGCCCCCCTGCCCAGCGACCCTCCCTCCGTCCCCCCCAGCCCAGCGACCCTCCCCCCACCCCGACCCAGCTCCCTTCCTCCCTCTTCTTCTTCTTCTTCTTCTTCTTCTTCTTCTTCTTGCAGATGTGGGTTTCTATTTTTTTTTCTTCCTTTTCTGGGTCGCTAGGGGGAGGAGGGACATTTCTTTTTCTTTTTCTTTCTTCCTCCCTCTTCTTCTTCTTGCAGATGTGCGTTTCTATTTTTTTTTTTCCTTCCTCTTCTGGGTCGTTGGGGGGAGGAGGGACATTTTTTTTCTTTTTCTTTCTTCCTCCCTCTTCTTCTTCTTCTTCTTCTTCTTCTTGCAGATGTGGGTTTCTTTTTCTTTTTTTTCTTCCTCCTTCTTTTTCTTCTTCTTCTTCTGGGTCGCTGGGGGATGAGGGACAGTTTTTTTTTTCTTTTTCTTTCTTCCTCCCTCTTCTTCTTCTTCTTGCAGATGTGTGTTTCAATTTTTTTTTGTTGAGAAAATTCAGGTTTTTAAAAAAAAATTAAAAAATTATTTTATTTGCCACGTGGCAGACATTTGGCAGCCACGTGGCATATATGTGGCAGCCACGTCAGCATTTAACAGATTAATGGATGGAAAATGTAACGGATGTATTATTTTGAAATAAAATAGTACTTAAGGTATGAAAGTGAAATGTTTTAAAGATATTGTAATGAATTGAAATAGACCCCAAACCTGAGGTATGAAAGTGTAATTTATCCAAAAAAATACTAAACAGATATATCACATTTAAGCTTAAGTATGCTAATTACCAAAATACTTTAAATGGTTCTTCAAATTATCATTGTTTTTTTTTTTTTTGGGACAAAGGATAAAATTCATTACCAACTAGAGAAGTACAACAAAGGCCCAAAACCATATGAACACAACAAAAGAAAAAGGGCCACAACACACAGAAAACAAAGGCCCAAGACCAACCTTGGAGCCCAAGACAAACAACCAAACCACACAGAACCCATCGCCGACAGAACCACATCCCAATCGGCCACCCGCCACGATTACTTAAGATTAAACCATCAAGAAACCCAGAAGTGGTGAGGACAGAGGTCACATCATCATCCCAAAACCAGCACTGGAATAGCCCCCAAGAGAACAAACAAGCATGCAAGTAGAAAGAACCCACAGGCAACATCGCTAACAAGGGCGAGCAACAACGGGAGTGACCAGCAAGGGCCAACAAAGGTGGTGGTGCAGACACCCGAGCTAAAGCTCTACACACCCTCCCAAAGATCCACGACAAAACGCGGTAAGTAGAGGCGGTACCCGATCGAAAGTGAGGAGAAAGATGATGGAGCCAACTTAGGAAGTTGTTTACATCAAGAAATTAATGATATACCCTCTGTTTTTATAATATATGTATCTTTGATTATAAAATCAATATAACTTTTTACCATTGATCTTAGCATTAATAGAACAGATAAGAGCTAATGAGATAGAGCTAAGCTACTTCACCTCTTCCATAAGTCCACGTCTCCACCCAAGCCTAGACATCCTGACATTGCCTAGATAGGGGTGCCGTCCTGACCTGCAAGGTTTACATAGAATTGAAAAATTGAAAGAGGTTTAAGCATGAACAGATTGTAAAACCGCAAAACTTAATAGCACCAACTTGCCTTGCAAGCAAGCACCAACCCTCATGAATAAAAAGTGGGTACACAAAATTGGCAGGAGATAAACTTGTTTCATGAAATGCAGCTCTGAGCGACAGCGATCTTTGGTTGGGCAAGGAAATGTTACACGATCTCAAATCAGCTTCAATTGGTAATTATGTAAAGAAATATGTTGATGCACAAAACTGGATGTCTTGGAACAACGTAAATCCGACCGTGAATCTGCATAAAATGTAAATGACACAAGGGTTATCGTGGTTCACCCCAAGGTTTGGGCTACGTCCACACTGATTGTATTATATTTCTCTGAGAAGTGAGGGAGAGAGAGAGAGCTCTAAGAGAGGGTGAGAGAGGCTTCAGAAATGGCATCTGAGGGTGAGAATGAGCCTCCCCCTAATTGTGAGGATGAGGAGTCCTTTTATAGAATAATGACTCTTCACTTATTACATATTTGCCCCTTCCCTTATTGCATAATTACATTTGAGTCCCCCGAGTATTTATACGAGGTCTAAGTACGAGGCCCTAAATATGGTATAAACAGTAGTCCCCCAAGTCTTCAGTCAAGAGAGTCTTTTGGCTGGAGACTTGAAATTCAGTCCATGTGTGGGCCGAAGTAATTAGATGTTGTCTTGAACTGATGTTCGATGTAAGGCGGTGCTCAATCTGAAATGATGCTCAACCAGAAGTAGCACATGCTACGAGACTGCTCGGCTTGTGGCTTATGTTGCCTTGGTTGGCTCGGCTTGTGGCGTTTGAAGGTGATGGAGTCCCTTTTATAGAATAAGGGCTCACTCCTCAATACATAGATGATGGGCTAGAGTTGATGCTCTCTAATGATGGTGAGGGAGTCCCTTTTATAAAATAAAGGATCGCTCCTCAGTACATGAATAATGGGTTATGAGTGATACTCGTGGCGAGGTGGTTGCTCAGCTGACGGCGATGTTCTCTAACGAATGTGAGAGAGTCCTTTTTATAGAATAAGGGCTCG